GTAAAGAATATATTTCCTACCATTATTTTCAATATGTGACATGATATTAATGCTTTATATTACCTTAGAAGAATACACCCAAATAAAAAATAGACAAATTTTTGAAAACTGTCTAGTTACCTGCAATTTCTTATTAATAGAAATTGTTTCTATTAATAAGAAACTGTAGGTAACATTGAAAATTCTTGGATTTATACGAAATGAATTTAAAACTTGTAAACAAGTCGACTTAAATAAAATAAGTAGATATATTTTGTAAATTGATAATGCATTTATTTCAGATTTTAAATTAAACAAAATAAAATAACTATACCACATAAATTCTTTCACACACGAGTTTTAGCGTAGGTGTATTCGTACAGTTCGAGTACATACGATTATCGCATTTTCGTATCGTACTACGTACATTCTGTGCGAATAACGCGTAATCGTAGTAGATATTATCGTACAAAATTAGCATAATGATACGATTCTCGTACTAGCTAACATTCACGGGTTGTACTGATACAATTCTCGTACTAGCTAATAGTCACGGGTTTTACTGATACGATTCTCGTACTAACAAAACGTTGTACGCATTTTGTACGTACACACCATTTTACGCTTGTCTGTACCAACGATTATTGTTATAATTGTATATTATTTGAGACAATTTACAATTGATATTACATTTATAAGTAAAGAGCATTTAACATCAACAGTAACTAACTCTACTGATATAAAGTAGTTATCATTCTCGTACTAAGGCAGTGTATAACAATAATCAACGTCCGCAACATACGACTGAACGAACTATACTTATATCATTTTTATTATGTATAAAATAATAATATAATTTATATCTTTACATAAATGAGTTGGGATATAGGTATATTTATACATTATTACATGTATTATATTTCCATATTTAAAAATGATAGAATTTTCATCATACCTCCGATCGAACTGTTTATAATTACTCCTCTCCATCGAAAGGTCGTCTGGAAGAGATCGCTTTTAGCGATAAGGTCGCCCTTTGTTTTGTCACTGCAATTATTTCTTGTAATTGTTTGTATCTATAATAAGTTTACTATTATAATCTTTTGGAGAAAACAATAAAAAGTATCTCTATATCTATCTAGTATCTATCTAATTTGTAAATCAATCTATCAAAAATGACAGTTTTTGTATAACTGAAATTGTATTAAATTATAAATGAAATACATATATATAATGTTACTTGAAATTTTAATGTATATTCATTATAAACATAAAAATTGTCTGACTTTGTTATATTTATTACAAAGTGAGGGAAATTAAATCAACCTACGGTGACTAATATTTGATAGGAAATTACATAATTTATTATTAATAAAATTATGAATGAATGAAAATTCTTCGTCATTCTCTCCATAAAAAAATATAATTATATGAAATATATACAAAAAAAAAACAGAGGATGTTGCGATTGAACATGTAAAGTATTTGCAATGGAACATTAAAAAAATTAAATTAAGTACATTTTTCGTTCAGCCATTTGGTCGCGTTTGCGGGGCCGTGTGTAGGTACTCGCTAAAAGGCAACTTGTTTACAATATTCACTGTTAAATACTCGACAACCACCGCTACAGTTGATACCAACGCTATGATTGTACCATTACGCGGCAATTGTCACATTAATCATCGTTCAATTCACTAAAATATAGACATTTTTGACACACATATTGACAGTACTGATGCTATTTATATAGATATAAATAAATACAGCAGTGTTAAGGTAGTAAATACAAAATTTATTACATATATAATATAAAGATTATTGATTTTATGAATTACGTTTAAAAAGTTAGGTCTTTTTAATTATTTTAAGTATTTTTTTTTTAATCCTTTATAATTAAAGACGGAAACGAAAACAGTATAATGATCAGATTTCTAAAACTTAACGAGATTAAAATAAACATAGTTAAGTAATAAATTTACCCAACATAGTTTATAAAGTTGATTTCAATAATACAAATTATTATTTGAACACGATGTTTTGTTCTTAATAACCTAGTGTCTCCGCCTATTAATTAAAGACACTGACAAAGATAAATTATCATCAAAATTAACAGTATCCCGTCAAAGATATGGCAGGTAGCTATCAATATTTCTATATATATTACCCACCTGTACATAATAATATATGTGTCAAAAATATCGCACACATTCCCCTATGTATATGTGGGTATTGTTCGTCAAACATATAATATTGACTGTACACTTTTACAAGACTAGATATACCTACACGAACAAAACATATAACGCAAATTAAATTTTAAACAGTACATTTGCACAATTCCATTCTATACGCCTATACATAATTATGACACAAAACCACTATAATTTTACATATACACATTTTATCTTACACAAATATATATATTTTACATGTCCTAAATTGATATTTATCACATTATTTTATTATAAGTAATATAAAAAGTAATCTTAACAACGATAACTATACAACATACAATAATTTAATGACTGCGTAACGATGACTCTCGATAATAGTCATGATATAGTTTTGTATAAAATACTACAATTTTATTTTTTTATTAACTTTATTAAATTTTTGCCTGAAGCTTTAATAACTAGTCATCGTGATTATTAAGTTAGAAGTCATTGTTTTAAAAGCAATTTGCTGTTTGATTACAATCTGTGTATCTATTGGCAGACTTGTTTAATTCCCACAATAAAATAAAAGGGTAACAACGTATACCCGAATATTTAGGAAGTATAGTCAAAAGTTTACTAATTTTTCTCCTTCCAACCTTGTCCTTGCAGCAAACTCTAATCATATCTAATACATTCTAATGAGCTTTGTAGACGATCAAGCGACTTGAGTCAAATACATATCTATTGCCACTTAATTTAAGTCACTTGATCATCTATAAAACCAACAACAGACAATAAAAAAAGAAAACAAAATGTAGCGTTTACTTCCATTATTTTTGATGAAATTATCTATCACAAAATAAATAATAGTACCTATACATCTCACATACACGGAGCGATTATTATATCGATGTAAATTGTACGAATATTATGTACGATATATGTACAATTTATGTACGATATATAGCCATAATCGTACATTTATCCAAAGCTGCGTGTATGAGGCGCATTACAAACGACACTTCAGTGTCTTGTGTCGGATACTAGTCGTTAGACAGTATTTTTATTTTTATAATTGTTTTCATACAATTAATGTGATTTCAACAATTATTCTGTGACAATTTCGTAAAATTTGTGTAAAATATACGTTTACAGTCCTGCTTGAAGCGGTGTGACTCGTGCTAATACAAATAAAACACTGAGTGCAAAGTATTGTCCACATAAACAACATTTGATCTCGAGAGCTTATTTTATTAAGATTTGCTCAAAATAGTACGGATAAGGTTTACTTCCATATTTGTTTCTTAATAATTCTGTCCTAGTTCACTTTTATCGCACGAAAATTATTTCTTGTAATAAATACTGAAAAAGAACAAGTGGCAACTTTATACGTATTTAAATTAATCTTGTCAGTTAATGCTGTCAAACAACAAGTATAGAAATTGATAACTTTCATAATTTTTAATTATATAGATAGAGTGTTTCCATAGAAAAGCTTCGAGAAAAACAGGTCAACTTTTTCATACAATTTTACGTTATAAATAGTTATGAGTGTTTCTTTTATAACTTCTATATTTATTTTGTCTTACAATTTCTGCATATTTTTAATGCGTAAAAACTAATTTTATTTATGAAATAATTAAACATAAATACGTCAAGATGCATTGTAAGCATTTATTTTATCTTATAATTTCTTCATTTTTTAATAAGTGAACACCTATTTTATTTATTAAATAATACGTTAAGAAACATTGTATGCGTAAATGTATAGAACACTGACAAATAAAACGAATCAGCTAATTTGACAATTAGCTGATAAAAAGTTGACCCGTTTTCGAGGCTCGATGCTCTGTGTATATAATGTGAATCGCTAAGCGAGCGGGTGGCGCGCGTGGCGCGCGTGGTGCGCGTGGTGCGCTCAGACGTCGAGCTGCGCGAGGAAGTTCTGCAGGTGGTGGTGTGCGCGCGCGTGCGGGTGGCGCGCGTGGTGCGCGTGGTGCGCTCAGACGTCGAGCTGCGCGAGGAAGTTCTGCAGGTGGTGGTGTGCGCGCGCGTGCGGGTGGCGCGCGTGGTGCGCGTGGTGCGCTCAGACGTCGAGCTGCGCGAGGAAGTTCTGCAGGTGGTGGTGTGCGCGCGCGTGCGGGTGGCGCGCGTGGTGCGCGTGGTGCGCTCAGACGTCGAGCTGCGCGAGGAAGTTCTGCAGGTGGTGGTGTGCGCGCGCGTGCGGGTGGCGCGCGTGGTGCGCGTGGTGCGCTCAGACGTCGAGCTGCGCGAGGAAGTTCTGCAGGTGGTGGTGTGCGCGCGCGTGCGGGTGGCGCGCGTGGTGCGCGTGGTGCGCTCAGACGTCGAGCTGCGCGAGGAAGTTCTGCAGGTGGTGGTGTGCGCGCGCGTGCGGGTGGCGCGCGTGGTGCGCGTGGTGCGCTCAGACGTCGAGCTGCGCGAGGAAGTTCTGCAGGTGGTGGTGTGCGCGCGCGTGCGGGTGGCGCGCGTGGTGCGCGTGGTGCGCTCAGACGTCGAGCTGCGCGAGGAAGTTCTGCAGGTGGTGGTGTGCGCGCGCGTGCGGGTGGCGCGCGTGGTGCGCGTGGTGCGCTCAGACGTCGAGCTGCGCGAGGAAGTTCTGCAGGTGGTGGTGTGCGCGCGCGTGCGGGTGGCGCGCGTGGTGCGCGTGGTGCGCTCAGACGTCGAGCTGCGCGAGGAAGTTCTGCAGGTGGTGGTGTGCGCGCGCGTGCGGGTGGCGCGCGTGGTGCGCGTGGTGCGCTCAGACGTCGAGCTGCGCGAGGAAGTTCTGCAGGTGGTGGTGTGCGCGCGCGTGCGGGTGGCGCGCGTGGTGCGCGTGGTGCGCTCAGACGTCGAGCTGCGCGAGGAAGTTCTGCAGGTGGTGGTGTGCGCGCGCGTGCGGGTGGCGCGCGTGGTGCGCGTGGTGCGCTCAGACGTCGAGCTGCGCGAGGAAGTTCTGCAGGTGGTGGTGTGCGCGCGCGTGCGGGTGGCGCGCGTGGTGCGCGTGGTGCGCTCAGACGTCGAGCTGCGCGAGGAAGTTCTGCAGGTGGTGGTGTGCGCGCGCGTGCGGGTGGCGCGCGTGGTGCGCGACGGTGTCGATGTCCGCGTGGTCGCGGCGCGCGGGCGGCGCGCGGGCCGGCGCGCGCGGCAGCCGCAGCGGCACCGGCAGCAGCTCCGGCATCACGCTGTGGTGCGTCACCAGCGCCGATAGCGACGTGAACTCCTTCGTGAACCCCTGCGCGCGGAACACAAACATAGATAGATACTCTTTATTGTTTCCCCCAAAAGATTACAACAGTAAACTTGTATAAACATAAACAATTACAAGAAATAATCACAATGAGAAAATAATGGGCGACCTTATCGCTAAGAGCGATCTCTTCCAGGCACATTTGTGAAAGAACTATAACGTTAACAGCCTAGTTAATACATGAAACAAATCAGCTGACCTTTATCTTATATCCCTTGGGCGTCCTCAGTATCAAATAGTGTGCGATTCCTGAAGGCTGGAAGTCTCTGGGCACGCGTACGGACAGTGCGAAACAGCCGGCTTGCGTTGTACTGCCACGTACCAAAAACGCACCGACAGCCTGACTGCTTAGTACTTCGAGAGCTATCTGCAAACATCAAGGAAGTCCAAAGTTTAATAGAGCATATACCTTGGGGAGAAAGGGATTGTTAGTAATGGAGACTGAGAATTCCATTGCTAGCAATATAACCAACCAGGTCGACCTCCTCGCGGTTCTCCCTGGAAACTATCATGGTTAATTCCTGATGAATTCATCATGATGAGCTAACTGACCTGTTTTCATTCTCATCTATCACCCTTCACTGGTGCTGCGCCAGCGTATCCCGTTAGCGCAGGCGGGGTTGTCATACCATTTAAAAAAAAATCCTGATCATGGAATACATAAAATTATTTTGAACATGTTGTACATTATTATGGACGCAGAACTTTAATTTAAAGTGTATACTCTAGCTGTAAAATATATTATTAAATATATTGTCTGATAATCGAGTTAAAATACCTACCCCTTCGTAAATAATATTTAAAAAGTAACTAAGGAAAATTACAAAACTCCAGCGCAAAAGAAAACTCTAAATAATATCCTAGAGAAACTTGCCTGACCATTGTATTAATAGCAAGCTATATTATTTTTATGCAACTTAAGATAGCAAATAAGCTAACGGCCCACCTGATGGAAAGTGGTAACCGTCGCCTATACACATGAGCAGTACCATGGACATAACAGAGTATACTATTTCACCCATGATAACCCTATATGTTGCCATTCCTGAGGACTAAGGTGTTATTTCTCTGTACCCTGTAAATTAACTGCCATATCCTTGCCCACTCTTGAAACCGAAACTCAGCCATGCAAATACAACTGCTTCACGGTAGAAATACGAATGGGACAGATGTATCCAAGCAAACGACTTATGTACAAAATCTCCTTCTGGTAAATATCATCATATCAACTTTTAACTCTTCACTGCTGAAAATAAATGTCCCCCTAGGGGGGTGTTTCCAGTAGTTGCCACGCTTGGCAAACAAATTGGCAACCGCAGTTAAACTTTGGAGATGTTTTAAGGGGAACGCTGCTACCCATCCCTCGCCCTCCCTTAGTCGCCTCTTACGACACCCACGGGAAAGAATTAGGTGGCCTATTCTATGCTGGGACCACACGGAAACACTGGTAGATATAGCCTCCTTTTATGAAGATGTATGTCCAGCAGTTGTTAAAGTAAGATTACCTCTCTAGGTATTCCTTGTTGAAACCACGGCGCTTGTCTCAGTTCAGGCTCGGCGCGTGGAGCATTGTTGTTGCCAGACGCGTGGGAACCTCCACACGACGACGCTCCTGAGGAAGAAGACGTCGTTCGACTACAAGCACCCACTGGACTGCTGTAATGTATATACAAAATGTTCTTTTAAAAGACGATTCTGTCTACCTACAAACATGAGGACTAAATTAATTAACGAAAACCCTTTACTGTTTCTTTCAAAGAATGCTTAGTTCTGCAGTTCATTTATTACTTATGAATTAGAAATAAACCTTATAAAAGTGGTAAGTTCCTCGCATACAAATATTAACAATATTATGGCTATCAAATAACGTACCCTCTGTTTTTATGATGTCGTATCAGTTAGGAAATACTGCTGCTGGAAGTTGATTCCAAAGAGAGATTCTAAACACATTATTAAAAGATTTAAGTCGTATAAACTTCACAGTTAGTTATTGACTGCGTTCAGGTAATCCAATAGTTGACTCTAAGCATAAACTTCAGATTTTCAATTCATGTTAGGATCGTTTAAAATTATTGTCATTTGCTTCGGCAATTAAAACAAAACTAAACAAAAGGATGCCATCTCCGCTTCGGTTCACATAAGGAATATTTTTTCATTAAGTATGGTAGTCGATTGTTCCTGGACTCTGCACCTATGTGTTAAAAACACCCAGATCTGCCCGTAATAAAAATTTATGTGTATAATTGACAGTTACCTATTTTTAATATTGGTACACCGTCTGAAGTCTACGTCGAGGTCTCCTTGTAGTGTTTCGGTGCGACGCGGTGGCGCAGGCACCTCTCTGTTGCTTTCTCTCGTTCGAGCTTCCGCTTCTGATGCTTCGTTTATGTAACCACCATTGAGGCATAGTGGTAAATTTGTGGGTCTGTAAGTTTCAAGTAAGGATTGATATTACTTAATGGAGTAAACGATTGATAACTTGAGGGAAAGTATAATATCTTTAACTTTTCTATCAACTTCCCACTGCCATAGATCATAAGATCTATGAAAAGATCTATGGCAGTGGGAAGTTGATAGATACTTTATTTAATATAGTAAGTGCAAAGTATTAAAAATCTTTAAATTAAATCATAACCAGAGGGAGACTTTGTACAAAAGTCGATTGCTTGGGTACCTCTGTCTCATTCGTGTTTCAACCGTACAGCAGTTGTGTTTGCATGGCTGTGTTTTAGTTTGAAGGGTGGGATATGGCGTGAATTTACTGGGTACGGAGGAATAACACCTGAGTCCTCAGGAATGGCAACGCATGGGGGTATCATGGGCGAAACAGTATACTCTGTTATGTCCATGTTACTGCTCATGTCTATAGGCGACGGTTACCACTTTCCATCAGGTGGACTGCCAGCTTGTTTGCCATTCTAAGTTGTATAAAAAAAAATCTTTACTCTTTCCTCCCAAAAGGAGGATATGTCTATTTTTATACCGCTGGCCAGGTGACCAAGTATGTAGTTTTATTTTTAGTTATTCATTTTTGCACTTTTGTATTCATATTCCCTAATTCGCTTTATTCCCTAATTATCCTCTTATAACATCTGGAGAATGAAAAATGAATGAAGGGAGATCTTACTGTACGATTTGAAAAAATATTAATATACTTGTTTAGTAATCATTCATTCTGACTCGTTCGTTCGAGCTCTCTCGCTCCCGCCACTCAGCACGTATAACATGTCGTCACGTTATATATAGTTTTAAAATAATAAATATTCAATAATACTAAGTGCCTTTGGACTTTACATCCACTACAACCTGCATATCATAGTAAGGTATATAAATACTATACTCAAAAACATATTTAGAGCATATAGATTTTAAACACAGTTTATATTTAATTTATTTAAAATCTTCATTTCCAATGAAATGTGTCAACCAACGTTTGTAAAGAAGAAAAATGTTAATTCGTGTTATCTTTAACAGATTAAACCTTCCACGAAAGACATTTGACAAAAAAGATACGTAATAAATGTATTTCATATTTCAAGATACAAGCTGTTACGTACGTAGTTGGTGTATCAGTGACGAGTGGCGTGGAGTCGTCGTCCGACGGCTGCAGCAGCGCCCCACTGAAGCCCATAGCGATCCGTTTCATCAGCGGCGGCCGGTCGCCGAGCCGCCGGTAGCAGTTGATCTCCGTCGGCGAGTTGGACTCCTCGGAGCTACTTGGACTCACTTCATTCACTAGCTTCGTCACGCCCATTATGTCACATTTCGCTGGGGACCTTGAACATTGAATAGCAATGACCTTGAACAATCTTGGACAACAGTGAATTACATAACTTTGTTTAATAATGTACAAGCTTGGATAACGTTGTACCACATTATATAAGCTTGAACAATATAAGATAACTTTAAACATCACATATTGGTATGAGTCAAAATTTGCATTTTTATAAATATTTTTGACTGTTTGCCATTAGCTATAGTAAGGGGAATTAAAAGTGCTATTGTATTAGGGTGAAAATAAAAAAAAACCCCATGTAAATGATTTCAAAGTAATTTTGGTATACTAATTAAATATTTTTGGTCTGATCCCGGTATAGAATGGACCAGCCCATCCTTTCCCGTGGATGTCGTAAAAGGAGACTAAGAGAATTTAATACTTGAGGGACTGGCAGCAACGTCCATTTTTAAATATTAACAAAGCCGAACTGCGGTTGCCAACTCACCTGCCAAGCGTGGCAACTACTGGCAATACACCCAATAGTGGAAGATTTAGCCATGAACAATTAACGGCTGACGTGATCATCATGAATTAGATATTTAATCAATGGAATATAGTAGAAATGAATTAACTAGGCATGTTTGCCTGGTTTACTTGCTGTTATTTGATTATGTCTATATATTTATTATGGCTTTACTTAACTTTTGCCTATAACTTCGTACATGTGGATTTTGAATCAATGAAATATACCACAGTTAGGGGACGTATTAAGATAAAATATACATCAAATTTTAAATTAGATTTCCTGAAATAATTTTTTTTATACGACTTAGAATGGCAAACAAGTAACGGCCTGATGGAAAGTGGTAACCATAGCCTATAGATATGAGCAGTATCGTGGACATAACAGAGTATACTGTTTCGCCGATGATACCCCCGTTGAGATGATGCCTTGCCATTCCTGAGGACTCAGTTATTATTCCTCTGTACCCTGTAAATTCACGCCATATCCCACCCTTCAAACTGAAACACAGCCATGCAAACACAACTGCTTTACGGTTCAAACACGAATAGGACAGAGGTGCCCAAGCAAACGACTTTTGTACAAAGTCTCTCTCTGGTAAAACTAGTGATAGTACTGTAAAAATCTCACTCAATTTAGTGCAGTAGTTTTTTCTGTAATCCCGAAACAAACATTCGTTTAAAGAGACATCTATAATATAAAAATGAATATGTTCCTAAGCGCAAATCTCGAGAACAACTGAACCAATTTCGGTAATTCTTTTTTTAGAATATTCCTTAAAGTACGAGGATGATTCTTACGGAAAGAAAAATTTAAAAAATTGTCTAAAAAAGTGTAAAAACAACACTTTTCTATACTCCCATACAAATGATTCGTAATAATAGTTAAAAGTCAATATGGTATTAAAATACCATACCATAAAGTCCAAGTGTTAGTGAAGAGGTTCCAGAAAGGCAAAACAATCGAGTGACGAGAGTATCGTATAAATATTGATGTAAATATTTATCTAACTGACCCAGCGTCCCGAATAGCAGAATAAACATAAAAAAAAAAAACTAAAAAATTAAAGAATCGACTGTTAGGTGGTATGAAGTTCGCCGGCTCAGCTAGTAAATTGTATAAAATTACTGTCTTATAGAAAGAACCATGATATTACCTAGGCGGATAGTGGTGTGTAAGGCCTGGCAGTGAGTCCGGCGCGCGCACTCCCATGCCGCCACACTCGCCACTTAACTCCTTGCTCTGTCGAAAATAAATACAATATTATATAAATATTTGGAACTAACAGAATTTTTCATCGTTTATAATTACTCATCTCCATCCAAAGGTTGCCTGGAAGAGATCGCTTTTAGCGATAAGGTCGCCCATTGTTTTGTCATTGTGATTATTCCTTGTAATTGTTTATATCTATAATAAGTTTACTATTGTAATCTTTTGGAGGAAACAATAAAAAGTATCTATCTATCTACAAAAACTTAATTCTTTCTTTTTTTTTTATACAACTTTGAATGGCAAACAAGCTGACGGCCCACCTGATGGAAAGTGGTAACCGTTGCCTATAGACATGAGCAGTACCATGGACATAACAGAGTATACTGTTTCGCCCATGATACCCCCCATGCGTTGCCATTCCTGAGGACTCAGGTGTTATTCCTCTGTACCCAGTAAATTCACGCCATATCCCACCCTTCAAACCGAAACACAGCCATGCAAACACAACTACTTCACGGTTAAAACACGAATAATGAAATTCAATGCCAGAAGCTACACGTATATATATACAAATACGTGTAGGTCCTGGCATAGAATGGGCCACCCCTTCCTTTCCCGTGGGTGTCGTAAGAGACGACTAAGGGAACTTAATGATCGTGGGTTGGGTAGCTGCGTTCCTCTAAGAACATCACCAAAGCTTAACTGCGATTGCCAATCCGCCTGCCAAACATGGCAAGTATTGGCAAAGCTCTTCAATAAAGGGAGACCTATATTCAGCAGTGGGTAGGTAATGGCTAATATGATGACGTTAATGATATATATATATATATATATATATATATATATCCATCCACTGCTGGTCATAAGCCTCCCCATAGACTGACATAAAGAACTGTCTTGAGCCACCTGCATTCACTGACTCCCTGCAATACATTTCAGGTCGTCACTCCATCTAAAGAGGAGTCGTCCTACACTGCGTTTGCCCATACGGGGTCGCCACTCAAGAACTATTTTATTGGTACCCCTTTTAAAAGTAACCAATCACAGATACTGAGGAATAACATCGAAAGAAACTTACCAGTTTTAATTATATAGCACCAAAGGTATTGTTTTAAACAAGAACTTGTTAACTTTTGTAACATAACGTTTATGTTTTTGTTTTTATTCTAAATTCAAAGTAAAATAGTAATGTTATTATATAATTGTGTAATCTATATTATTATGTTGTTTTGTAATATGTAACATGTAATTATTTTAAACACTTATTTAGTATTACTAGTTTAGTTTTGCGATAATGAAATGAATCCGCATTCCGGTCCATTGGAATGCGAACGAACCGCCTCATGTTATATTCAACAACCGTAAAAAATTGAGTAATTTGTTCTTTTATTAGGCGTGTACATGTATTACACAATACAATTCGAAGCAATTATCTCTTTTATGTTCAAGTATAAAACATTAGATCACTCCGATTCTTTTTTTTTTAATTCCACTACTATTAGTGTACTAATGAAAGTGGAATAAAAGAAAATAAGAGAATTGACTCTACTCAATTAATCGAATAAAATGAACTCCCAAAAAACACAATTCAATGTATTGTAATAAGATACATACATACATACATACATACATATCTGTCACGCCTGTCTCCCATTAGGGTAGGCAGAAGCAATGGAACGCCAAATGCTTCGATTCAAACAAACCTCTTTCGCTTCCTCCACATTCATCAATCTTTTCATACACGCTCGCCGGTTACGGGTACTTTTAATTTGGTCCTTCTTCAGCACGTCGCCTATTTGGTCGACATACGTCCGTCTAGGGTGGACCCTATTGTAGAATATTTTGGATCTGCCTTTTAATAAGTTTTAAACTTTTTTTAAAAACATTTATTGAACAAAGCGCATTGCAGACTAAACGATTACTTGAACGACAAATGTGTTAGTCGATCATGCATGCGTCATGTTTCTTTTTAACAGATAACAACTTTCCCAACTCTGCATTCATAGAAAAATGACGATTTAAAAGTGCTTATTGTGCAATTATTTACACTCAAGTTGTGGAATGAGCTCCCTGCCGAGGTTTTCCCAAGAGATTACAGCATGGAGCTCTTCTAAAGGGGGGTAAAGAGGTTTCTTCAGGGTTGGCAATGCACGCGTAATACTTCTGGTATTGCAGGTGTTCATTGGCTACGGTAACCACTTACCATCAGGTGGGCCGTATGCTTGTTTGCCACCTCAGTGGTATAAAAAAAAAGTCCATTTGAATAATATGCATTTTATTTGATTATTTATTTTTTCTATATTTGCCACGTCTGATTTACGCCATCTACCTTCTCTTTGTACTCACTTATTACTTTATGTAGTGTTGTCTCTAAGAGATTGCTTTTAACGATAAAACCGCCTTTTATATATGCGTATTTCGTATCATTATTCTATGTATTTTTTAAATGAATGATAATGAAATGGTAACTCCGCCTGCACTAACGGTATGCGCTGGCTAATCACGAATGAGGGATGAAAGATGAGAATGAAAAGTTAGCACATCATGTTGAACACTCCAGGAATTTAATACGATGGTTTTCAGAGAGGCCATGTGCTAGTCGACCTGATCCTATATTGCTAGTACTAGCACTGGGGGGAAAGGGATTGTTAGTGATGGTGACTGAGAATCCCATTGCTAGCAATATACCTAACCAGGTCAACCTCCTCGCGGTGCCCCCTGGAAACTATCATGGTTGATTCCTGATGTATTCATCATGATAGGCTAACTGACTTGTTTTCATTCTCATCGATCACCCTTCACTGGTGCTCCGCCAGCGTATCCCATTAGGTGACGTTACCATACCATTTTCACCCATCAAAAAAAAGTACTAAGACTGGTAGTCTAAATTACTAACAATAACTTCCCCCTTCCCCTTTTTTGACGCAATAAAGAGTTTATTGTTATTATTTAAAAAGAAAACTATCCTTCATCAGCTTTATCATACCTGCGTTGCCAGTTTACATCAATTTAATCTTTTAATCGTAAAATCCTCTAAATGTACATGGATTCTATCTTCAATTCTTATGGATCTATGTATGGATTTAAGATAGCTATGTTTATATATAACAGATGTTCGTTTGATATCACTATTACGTGTGTTATGACAATAAAAGGAATAATTCGTTTTTACAACATTTAATTAAAAACTTAATTAATATTCGGCGAAAACTCGAACAATTCGAGATCGCGTGACCTCCGACGTAATCGAGAACAAGCCGGAAGAGAACCCGCCCGTGCGCAATATTAGCGGGCCATCCGAATCCACGACCCCCAAATTAACTTCTCCCTTTGTTTGAGCAAGAGTTTGCTTAATAACATGCCATTAGTCATTTGTCGCCGGCAAATGTAAAAGGGTAAAGTTTCCAATCAATTGAGTGATCGCTGATTGAAAATACTTTTGATGAAATTCAACTTTAAGTTTTATGGTACGTAATATTAAGGCTTTATTTTACTTTTAAACTATCTTTAACCTGTAACTTCCCATTCGATACCGAGATTGTTCACTGACAGGAATAAATGCAGCCTATGTCCTTCTCCATCTCATATATATATGGCAACGCATGAGGATACCCCTCTGGGAGACAGAGTGTACTCGGATACTATTTTTCGTAAACTGGAACGTCATTTTCTTTGTCATTTATTTATTTAATTATAAGTACAAGGCAGATTTAATGCTAAAAGCATTCTCTCCCAGTCAACCATATGGAAATGTTAGAAAACTCCGATATGGCACTAGTAGTTATTAATATACATATATACTAAAATTATATATATATAAACGAATAAATATATATATATAAATAACAAATGTACTTACACATATATAAAATACACTATATTATACACGAAATTGAGAATAATATAAAGTACGTACTGTTCGGATAAAGTATAATAGTAAACTTAAACATTTAAAAAAAAACGGTTTAATCGGTAGTCTCCTAGTAGTATCAGGAAGCATATTCCAGAGCCATGAAGAATGTAGGATAAAAGAATTTAAAACGAAACCAGTACTGGAGCGTATGTTACGATCGTGAGTTTCAAAAAGATACCGGAATTTGCTGCTTGAGTAATAAGGAGACTGGGGATTTTGAAGATGCTAATGCCATTCTAAGTATCATAAAAAATATAGTACACTAAGAGGTCACAAACGAAATCAATTTCACATTAATATTAGTAAGAATGTGAGCGTCTTACCTGATTTAGTATACAAACATTTTGTGTTATATTCTGATGTGATTTTCACATCTCTTTCTAATCGATAGGGTTCAATTCCATACTGGTTCAACTGTTTTCGAAAAAGAGGTTTACAATTCGGTTATGTTATTTATGTTTATTTTATGTTCGTTTTTTTTTTGTAGTGCATAATCTTATACACAACCAATTATTGACCAATCATTTTCTAAATCAAATATTTGTAACCTGTTAATAAAATACGAGTCTCTTATCATTCGATCAAATGATGCATGTTCTATTAAAGTAAGATTTACACTTTGTGATAGAAACAAAAGAACACAAAATTTCCAACTATCAAAGTATGAGAATCCTCAGATATCTTTTGGTATCGTAAATATTTTGACAATGGGTTGATTTATTTGCCAGTGTGGGTGTTTACGCTGTTGTGGGAGAGGAACAAGCGTGGGCCGATATTATTTGTTACCTTTAAAGCACAATTTGATGTGAACACGACAGATGCTAATTCAGTTTTAACTCAGACGAGTGCTGACACTTGTCCGCGTTGATGGCTCACAAATTTTATGAAACGAACAAAACATTTCCGCGAAATGAATTTGTAACGTAAAATTTTAGTGATTTTAGGGTTGGAAGTGTTTGTAATGGATTAAGGGAATCGTGGCTCAGTGGCAAACAAGCCCGCGTAATAGACCTTAAAACCATGAGTTGTTCAAATGGAAAGGAGCATATGGTTCTTCCAAAGTGGCACTTTTTGAAGAACCCTATGCTGTAGTCCCTTAGAAAAATTTCGACAGTTT